TGTTGTTGCTGCTTATAAACCTGTTGAATCACTTCATGTTGGTGTAATTTGGTGTGTGATATGAATCAGAATATTTGATCATTTCTTTTGGCTTTTTCTAATTTAGTTCCATGAAAGCTTTAAGGTCAGTAGGTATCAGGTATGTTTGTACACTCATGTGTCCTGATTAGGCTGTGCAGTTAGATTGGGTACTCCTCAAGTCATGTTGACAAAGAGTTCTTTATACTTAGGTATCAGGTAGATGCAGACTAAATCTCCTTAAAGATTCCATTTCACCCTGTTAGAATGACCATTGCCAGGATAAATAACAAATTCTGAGGTGAATATTGGAAAATCATCACTGTTATACACTGCTTGTTGATGCATAAACTAGAGCAGCACTTTAGAAAGCATTCTATATTATTCCCAAACCCTAGAAATAGAACTATCATACATGCTATATTGATTAGCCCTTTATCCATTGATGCACTTCTGATTGCTGCCTACAATTCTCTGTATGAACCCATGTCCATCTGCATAGGCTGAAGAAAAGACACTGCAGAATTACTCCAGTCCCTTTAGAAATTCTCACTAAGAAATACATTTGTCGTGATTATGAGGACCAGGTTTCTCTGGTGTGTTCTGAGGTTGAAGCTGTGCTGTCATGATCATGAAAAGTAAATAAGCATCCGAGGTCTGCCTGGAGGTGTGCACACAGGAAAACCAATGCAGACAGATAGGGCTCTGTCCTCAAAGCACAGGGTTTGGAGCCCATGGACACTCTTCAGATGACAAGACTGCTTGCTTCCCATTGTGATAAGTTCTATTGTTTCTCTCCATATGGAAAAACAATGGTGTCACTAGCTAAGAGATTCTGCATATGTGCATGGACTAAACACATTAGTGATTAACTCCACATCACAAATAATCCTAGCTGAGTCAAGGGGAAAAAATGAGAGCATTTTCCCTTGCACCCATTAACTAAGAACAAGTCCAGATCTGAATTCTCTACTTGAAGTTCCCTGTCTCTTCCATTCCCTAGTTCTCTGTTCCATGAGTTTGAGTCTGTGTCTGTCTGAAAGTTGTCTTATGAATCAACCCTGTGTGTCTGTTTGCGCTCTCTCTCTCTCTCTCTCTCTCTCTCTCTCTCTCTCTCTCTCTCTCTCTCTGTGTGTGTGTGTGTCTGTTTGTCTGTCTGTCTGTCTGTCTGTGTACTCTGTATGTGTCTGTCCATAAAAAGGTGTTTTTCTCTGTCTTTATTAAACAGCATAAAAAGCATCACATGTGGTAGCGGTGAAAAATCCTTAACAGATACTAAATCCCTTGGATCTGGAATATGGATGGTTACAAGCCACCACATGAGTTGATGAACTGACTTCCAATCCTCTGCAAGAGCATAAAGTGTTCTTTGTTACTGGGCCATCTCTCCAAGCACCAGGTAACATTTTCAAAACGGAGTTTTAAAGGTTTGCATAGGCTCAATATATGACATTCACAGAAAAAATTAGACATTACATTGATCTTGAATGTTTTTACTGGAGGAGCAGCCATTTCTCCCTGGTGCTCTGCTCTGAGATTGTGTCTTCTTGCCTTTTCAAATCAAAGTGTCCAAGATGCTCATATAAACTACATTGATATTAACAAGAAATACTAGAGACAAAACAAAAGCAATAACACACACCCACAGTATTAGTAGGAATCCAACTTACCTCACCCACAGTGCAACTAACTCAGCATGGAGCTTCTTGAAAAATAAAACAAATTAAAAATGAGGCTGGGTGTGAGAGACAGGACCAGGTGGAGCTCTGTGTGTTGGAGTCCATCCTGGTGTTCATGAAGAGATGTAGGTCAGCCAGGGCTAAAAAGTGAAAATAAAATTGAAGCATATATTTCCCACAAAACATTCATTCAAATCTGACACAAAACACTTAGAGTGAAGGATTTTAAATGACAAAAAGATTTGCTCTGTAAATTTATTTCAGAGGAACACCACATTTAGTAGTAAATTTTGCACACTTCAGCACTGGAACTGTCACTGTGTCAAAGCACAAGGGAGGCTGCATGGCCACACAGAGTCTCGGTGAGGAAGATGATGAGTAAGGCAACCATCAAACAGATGACGCCCGTGGCCTCAGACAGGGAAAAGCCCAGGACAGAACAGGAGAAGGGCTGCTTCTTGGGAGATGGTTTCCTGGCATAGCCAATAACCAAGCTGCTAACACCACATCAATGCCAGCCCCTGATCCCTGATGCAGCTGGACCAACTGTGGCAGCCCAAGTACCAATACACTGTGCTGTGGTGTGAGTATCCCAGGGGGACACACTGCCCTGGAAATCCCACCTGACTTGCTGGAGAAGGGAAACACAGCAAAGAGCTGTTGAGGTGGGACCTCTGGTCAGCAAAGAAGCTAGCAGACAGCAGGCTGATTAGATGGCTGGTAAAGGAGAGGATCAGAACTGGAGAAATAAGCACTATCTAGCTGGTCTGCATTACTTCAATCTAGCCCTTATCAATTTAGCCCTTATCACTCTGGATCTTAAGGACACCAGATGTTCAGTGTGAAAGGATGTTTTAAAAGAAACATCATGAATGTGGATAGCAATAAATAAGATGGGCAGCCACAATTTTGGAAGGTAACAGACAATCCAACATAAAACTCTCAAAACACACAAAGAAAGAATACTGACCAAGGATAAAATGTAGCATTTGCTAGAATGCTATATTATCAGCATGGGTTCATTTTACTCAACAGTTTCCAAACACATGACACAATCACTAGTAGAATGGTAGGTAGAAAATAGACAGAAATGCTGGGAAAGTTCAATGTCTAACACTTAGTGACAGATAATGAAATCCAACAGAATTTTAGTGAGAAAGAAAATCATGAACAGCACAGAAAATGAATAATGCCCAGCAGTCTAGAGAATCATCCACACAACAGCAGAAGATGCCCAGTCTTCCCCAACTCCAAGGAGCATTCTCCAGTGTGGAAAAAGAATTAGAAAGAGAACAAATTTTCAAACCTGGCAAAGATAAATGCTGAAAAAAAAATTATTTTTGTGCCTAACTGGAATTCAAATATCAACAACAGAAAGAAAATAAAATACATAAATGACCAGTGAAAACTGGTGCATTATTAGCATGTTTATATTCACACATGAGACAATATAGAAGGTGAGTATTCCATTACACTCAGGCAAAGGACGACATTTTTACAGAAGTAGAAAATTACGCTCCTTTAATGTTAGGAATGGGTCTGAGCATCTCAAAATAATGGCGAGGTAAAAAAATCTTACTTCTGTGGGAGCAAGCATAGCTGTGCCAAGTCCAGCATGCAAACAGATTCAGCAAGCGTCCGACCAGGACTTCGTTCCTAACTGGAAAGGGGCTAGTGTTTGACTGGTCAGACCTCACCTCACATACTTATGACAATGGCTAAGTTAAAACAACGCAGTTGACAACCTGGACACAATTTTGAGCACCAAATGAAACCGTTATTTAGCATTTTGCCCTCAAAAGTGTTGTTGACTTTTGATAAATTTGAAATAATCCCAAGAGGCTTATTTACATTTTTTTGAAATGGAATTGTGTCTTATTTCAACATTTGTCAGAAAAGACAATATATTCTGTTTACATTTCTCACACTTATTTGTACATTCCAGAATGTCTGGTGAATTCCATGAGTGGTAGTGCATGTCTCCCAGCACTCTGGAGGCAGAGGCAGATGGCTCTCTGTCAGTCAAGTGCAGCCTGGTCTACATAGTGAATTCCAGGCCAGCCAGGGATACTCAGTGAGATCCTGCCTCAGAAAAGCATGTCTGAGGGCTGGAGAGTTGGCTCAATGGTTAAAATGCTGGCTGCCCTTTCAGAGGACACAGGTTCTATTCCCAGCACCCACATGGCAGCTCACAACCATCTGCAAATCCAGTCCAGGGGATCTATTGACCTTTTCCGGTTTCTGTAAGTAATCCATGCAGATGGTCCAAAGACATCGATGCAGATAAACACCCAACACATAAAATAAAAATAAATAAATAATTTTATGAAAAGCCCATCTAGGGTGAGATTATCACTCTCTGATTCACATCTAGGAGGAGAAAAAGAAGTATATTTTATTTATCTGGGTTTAGCAGAGGAACCTGAGCTCAATACAGCCTTGGTTTTACAGTGAGTAATCTAACACACTGCTGCCTGCTGCCTTGGTTTTTAATGTTACTAGTCATTTGTTCTGTTGTTTTTGGTGGTCAATCCCAGGGACCCACAAAGCTAGGTCAGGGCTTTATGACCCATTTACCTCACTAGTCCTGTTAGCAATTGTGAAGTCTTTGCTCACAAATACCATCTGCCTGCCTCCTCTGTCTACAATGGAAGCACCAGTCTATGTATCCTTGTAATAAGGAGAAAGTAGAGCACAAACAGAGAAGGCAGACAACCATCCCTGAATAATCCCCATATAATGAGGCAACAGAGTGGAAATGGGAAAGCTTCCAGGAGGATGGAGCTGATATTGGAACAGGCAAACTCCTGTGCTGCAAGAATGGAATGGGGCCAGGCTGGAGAGATTGCTGAGGGGTTAAGAGCACTTGAGGCTCTTACCCAAGGACTTAGGTTCAATTCACAGCTCCCACGTGGTGACTCATAGCTGCTTGTGACTCGAGATGTAGGGATCCAATGCCTTCTTTTGACCTCCAGATATACCAGGCATTAATGTGGTTCACAAACATATAGATATACAAAAAAAATGCGGGAAGAATTATTGAGGTAAGTGAAGTAAGAGTAGGGGCAAGGAACTCAGGAGAGAGAATCCTACTTATTTTCACCTCTCTCTCTTTCCTTTCCTTCCAGGCTGGCCTCTCACTCCTTACAGAAATCAGAAAGCCACGCCTGACCAGACAGTACCATGCTTAAGGAGTTTATGTAGATCTGGAATAAGGAACCAAGAATGTATGTTAGCACAGCAGGCTGCCTGTAATCCAGAGAAAGAGGATGCTAGAGCAAACTGAATTGCAAGACTACCTGTGTCAGCAAGCTCTGAATTTGATTTAGGACCCACCCTCTGCTGGTTTGAATGAGAATGCTGCTCCCCCTACTTTTCTCTTCTTGGCACATTTAATAAACTTGTATTTTGAGGGAGTGGTTAAAGAAAATAAGATGAAATCAGAATAGATTTTCTGACTTAATTAGGGGTGCACCGTACTGTACAATACTCCTTGTGTTTTAGATGAACTCCTTTCTGAAGAAGACCCATTCAATAATCCAGTTGGAGAAGGAGTGAATATGACCAGAAAGAAATACTGCAGGCAGATTATGACATTTTCCAGATTTGGAATTTCGCACATGGTCTTGGACTTAAGGTGAAAATAGGAAAGTTTTAATCAATATCTTCCACATGGTGAACAGCTCTATTTATCTGAAGACATGATATCATGAGTGGGTCCCAGAAGTGGACAGGTGAGTCTGAACTAACAGTACTGATGTACACTACCCAGCTGTAACCACTGTCAATTGGGGCCATTTGTGCTTCCTAACTCACTGAAATGAAACAGATTATCAAGTCATAATTTCTATTCTCCTAGAACTATCATAGTAGAAATCATAGCTGTAAAATGCATTTGTGATCTTCAACATTTCATTTGCAAAGATCTCTGGAAAATGAGTTCATTTTTCATTTCCTCTTTTTTAGTAGGAAAATTAAAGGCAATTTTTATTTATTATTTGAGGATTCTAGATAAGTATAAAGCAATATTCTCTTGGTAACTATTCTGATCACTGCACAGTGGTTTTCTTCTCTACTGCTGAATCTCTCATTCAGATGTTAAAAAGATTGAGAGTAATTGTAAGTAAGGTGTTGAAAAAAAAAGCATGCAGGTCACTAAGGGATATTACAAAATGTTGTTCAAGCATTTTTACCAAGAAGTCATAAATTGCTAAGGTCTCTAAACATACATTAACGTTTTCATGGCCCACCTTAGATACTTAATGAATTATAATCTTGGGTTTACTTAAACTTACTCATTTTATCATTTATGTGCATGAGTAATTTGCCTGCATAAGTATGGATGCACCACATGACTTCCTCACACCTGTGAATATCAGAAGCGGGATTCTCGTACACTGGAAATGGTGGCGGCTTTGACCCCATTCTGTAGATGCTGTGAATGAAACCTGCATCTTCTTCAAGATCATCAAATGCAGCTGGGCAGTGGTGGTGCATGCCTTTAATCCCAGCACGCGGGAGGCAGAGGCAGGCGGATCTCTGTGAGTTCAAGGCCAGCCTAGGCTACAGAGTGAGTTCCAGGAAAGGCGCAACGCTACACAGAGAAACCCTGTCTCGAAAACAACAAAAACGAACATCAAATGCTACGGACCACTGAGCCATCACTCCAGGCCCCAACCCTAACCCATAGAGAAATTGGTCATCAGGTGACTCTTCCTTTGTCCCCTTCCATCTTGCACAGCTTCTTTAAACAAACAAGGAGTTGTTAAGCTTCTTTATCTGAGTGAAAAAGTATAACTAGTAATATACATTTGTCTTTCAGGAGTGCCACAAGTGAAATACTATGGGAATTTTAAGGTGTGTTTCTAATGTGTCTGGTTTTATAGTTTTTGCCTGGCTTCAAACTTGTGTGTTGAAGTTTAATGTCTTTAGCTTCAGGAAAACCTGAAGTTTAGTCTGAAATGATGACTCAGGTTGCTCAGATAGAAGAAAATCATTCATGACTATCATATTCTCAGAGTGATAGGGAGAATCATTTTCAGAAAACAGGACTCAATGGTCTGAAATTTAGATCAAGCCTGCCCAAAGAGGCCTCATTTCAACATTACCAAACCATCAACTGGAAGAAAATAGAGGACTGAAAAAACCCAATGTGTGCTCTACTCCTAGGTATGCCTACCCCAATGCAGACACAAAGAGGCACATGAGAATATCAATACGACATGACTCAAAATGCTGTAGTCATGTACTTAGATGAGAGTAAACTCAATCATACTAAACAAAGAATTTAAAGAATGCTTATTAGAATGTACCATAAAATCAAAGAGGCACCAATCACTTCCTGAGGGAATTCAGTGAAATCTCAAACACTTCCACATAATAAGGAATGTATTTATGATGTGACAGAAACTCAATAAAGATAACAAAGTAATGTAAAATGAAGTGATGACACATACCTTTAATCCTGGCTTCTGGGTCTGTCGCTGATTTGTTTTGATTTTCATCTTTGAGGCTTTGTAATTTTTTGTTTTTGTTTTTCTTTCTTTTTTTCAAAGAGAAAGAAAAACAATGTTTTGTATATGGGGAGTTGTAAGCTATTTGGAGTGCTTGGGAGGATATGAAATTACTCAAAATACACGGTATGAAAAATATTCAATAAAAGGTAGTAAAAAAAATAAATTCAAGTTATTAAAGAAAGAAATTGAAGATTTTTAAAGATGGAAATGTGTCTCATGCTCATAAATTGGTGGGAATAATAGGAAAAATAACCGTCATAATGAAAATAAACAATAGATTAAAATCCCTATCAAAATCCCAACATAATTCTTCATACACACACACACACACACACACACACACACACACACACATTTCCTTCTGGTGTTTTGAGACATGTTTTTCTCTTTGTTGTCCTGGCTATGCTGGAACTCACTTTGTGGACCAGGCCGGTCTTGAACCCAGAGATCTGCCTGCCTCTGTTTCCATAATGCTGGAATTAAAGGCATGCACCCCTTCTGCCAGACATCTTCACAGATCCTAAAGGAACAATTTTTAGCTCCATATGATAACACACAAAAAAAAACCAGGATAGCCCAAACAAACCTGAATAACAAAAGAACTGTGGGATGTTATACTACAAAGCTATAGCAATAAAAACCAGCATAGTATTGGGGGGAAAAAAAACAGACAAATTGATCAATGGCATAGTTAGTGGGCTAAAAATCAGCTAAAGAATGAAATATTGCTGGACTCCCTGCTGCAGAGTTTTAGCCCCAAATCTGATGGTTTCTTTGATATGGCATACAGGGAGACAGAATGGAGTGCTTTGGAGCTTGCAGAAGACAGAAAGCAATTGTGCTACAAAATTCTGCAAGTGACACACATCCTTCAAACTGTGCTGTATCAGTGAATGACATTGAACTCATGGTTAGATCCTTATGATTCATTGTCTGGGAAACATTTATTTATTTATTCATCCATTTATTTATCCATCCATTTATTTATCCATCCATTTATTTATTTATTTATTTATTTATTTATTTATTTATTTATTTATTGTGTGTCCTTTTTTTAAGATTTATTTTATTATGTATACAGTGCTCTGCCTGCACATGTGCCTGCCGGTCAGAAGAGGGCGCCAGATCTCATTACAGATGACTGTGAGCCACCATGTGGTTGCTGGGAATTGAACTCAGGACCTCTGAAAGAACAACCAGTGTTCTTAACCACTGAGCCATCTCTCCAGCCCCAGCATTTATTCTCAACACAAAAATGTAGTGATTTATTAGGAAAAAAGTCACAAATGAATACAAAAACTTCACAAATGACCCTACACTGCATGGAATGCCTTTTCCAAAATCCCACATTGTATGCTGTAGCTTTAATCAGGGAAGGCTGGTGTTCTAATCCAATCATGACCCAGAATTCCCATATCTCAACTGCTCAGTCTCTCCTTTTGCAAATTGTGTGGGTTTGGCTCCCATTTTTCACACAAGAAAACCAGTACATGATTGAAATTCCAAGTCTGAAATAGGGTGTCCACCATCAGCTCGGGGATGTTCAGGAATGGTCTCATGCAATTGAACCTTGCTTAGGAATAATTTTGGACACACAAATCAGTCTATAGAGAACTTATTCATGTAAACACTGTTTAGAATATAAAAAAGTTTATTTCTGAATAATTTGAGAAAAACTCCCCTTTGAATTTTTATGTAAATGGGCCATCATGAACTTCATCAATTTTTAAAATATAGCATTTTCTATTTTCCCCTTTTATTAAAAACAGATACTTTTCTCATTGAATAAATCCTGATAGAAGTTTCTCCTTCCTCTATTCCTTCCAGTTCCTCTCCACCTTGCCTCCCATCCAGATTAACTGCTGTTAGAAAATATCAGGCTTCAGAAAGGCAACAGCAAAACATAAAGAAACGAACTATAATAAGGTAAAATAAAACCACCACTTCAAAGTTGGACACTGAAAATAAACCACAACAACAGAGCTCCAAGAGAAGGCACAGGAATTAGAGAGCCACTGGTTCACAATGTTAGGAATCCCATAAGAACACTAAACTGGAGGATATGATACAGCAGCTGACCTGGTGAACATCCACCTTGGCCCTGTGCTTGGGCCTTCATTCTCTGTGAGTTCATATGATCTTTGCTCAGTTTATTTGGAGATCTTTTTTTTTCCTGGTGTCGTCCATGCCCCCTGTCTCTTACACTCCTCCTGCCTCCTCTTATGTGGGTTACCTGAGCTCTGAGATGTGGGATTTGCAGGAGGCAAACCATTTAGAGCTGTGTGTTCCAAGGTCTCTCTCTGCTTAATGTCTGGCTATGAGTCTGTATTTGTTCCCACATGCTGCAGGAGGAAGCTTCTTTGATGGGACTGAATAAGGGACAGATTTATGAGTATAGCAATATACCATTAGGAGTCATTTTGTTGTTGTTTTAGACCAGTAGTATTTTGGTTTTGTCATAGTTTCTGGATATCTAGTCTCTGGTTCTTGGTCACCTGAGCAGTGTCAGGTATGGATTCTGGAAATCTAAAATAATTCATCACTTCTCCTGATTCATACCACACACCAAAATTACACCAACACGAACTAATTCTAGAGGTTTATAAGTAACAACAACAATGAAGCAGAAATAAATGTACCCTGATTAAAAAGAAAACCCTAGAAGCAGATTGATTCCCCATAGAATTATGTCAGAATATCAGAGGATAACTGATACTGAAGCTACATTAAAGCATTCCTTGATGTAAAATGAAGGCAAGGATTCCAGATTCAGTATGAAGTTAATATTACCTGATAGCAAACCAGATAAAGTGCAAAAATGAAAAATTTTTAACTTTTATTGTTAACTTTTTGCCATTTCACATGATATACCTTGCTTAGTACACACTTTGATCCCTTATTCCCTGCAGTCCTGGCCCATACAAATCCTTCTCCCTGTCTCCCTCCCTCTCTATCCCCATCTCTCTCTCTCCCTCGTTCCATAACTCTCTCTCATGTTCATTTCTACTCATTTTGCTTTTGACCCACCGAGACTAACCAGGGCCATCTGTGAGAATGTGGGTTTGGAGCTGTGTGTTGGAGCCTGTTGGACTTAGCAGAAGAGACACAATAAAGACAGTGATTCCCCTTCTCCTAAAATCTCTCCATAGCCACAGTTGAGAGCTAAAGGTTGGGGCCCTGTGAGCCTCTCCCCCTCCTAGGCTGACTGTGTCCAGGGCTGGCCTTGACTGAGCCCAGTGCAGGTGAGTACAGTTGCTCTGGGTTACTGATTACAACAGCTGTGTGGAGTCTAGAGCATGACATGTCCT